AAATTGTCATTTGCCTGCAAAGGAGGAAACGAGGCACCTCTCAAAGCCCATTCTCCAACTTCTTCAACATCCCCTGAACACTAAAGATAACATAAAGCCCACTCCTTTGAAAGTTCTGTCCAATTCCCCCAAATTAATTAACACGTATATATCTCTAGCAAAACTCAACAAGTTTCTAACAACCAGTAGTAAAGATGACATACAGGTCCACTCATTTGAAAATTCTGTCCAATTCCCCCAAATAATTAACCAGTAGAGCAGCAGGACCTTTTAGAATCACAGCATTGTCGCTCTTGCATTTTTCTTCTTTTCATCTTTATATATTTTCAATAATTTCTTTTATAACAATGTCAATGCCGTGCATGTCTACTCCTATCATGTAATTCTTTCATTTTTCTCCATCTCCATTTCTTTTCTTCTTTCAGTTTTGAGTATTTGCATAATTACATTCAGGAAAATTGTGAAAAAGGAGTCCGGCCAGGACTTACTGTTACATCAAGTTTAACAGTTCATTTGAGGATCAGCTCGTTTAACACACCCGCAACAAAAATAATGCAAATAAGAAATGGCACATCACCCTGTGGGTCACGTGCATGTGTAGCAATTGTCGGGAAAAATTATTTTAATAAATATTTAAAAGAAATTCTAACAAAATTAAATTTTTGTAATTAAAACAAATATCATTAATTTTTATAATATATAAATAAATTAATAGGTTAAAGTAAATTTTTGTCCCTAATGTATTTTTCGAGGAGCACCCAGCACCCTAACATTTTCATTGGAACAATTTTACCGTTAAAGTTACTAAAATAAAGTATTTTTGCCTTGCCATTAAATTTTCAACATTAACCTCAAACGTTGATTGTGAAAAAATTTGACAGAAAGAACAAAAATGCTCTGTTTTAATAAATTTAAGGGTAAAATTGCTCCAACAAAAATGTTAGGATATAGGTGCTCCTCAAAAAATACTTTAAGGATAAAAATATACCTTTTTTCTAAATTAATTACACAACATCAAGGCATGGGTCAACGGACACCTCAAATATAATGATAATGAGTACCGAATAGAAATTACAGACACATAAGGAGAGAAAGAAGGGGAAAGCTGAGGTAGGCGACGTTCTCAGCAATCCATGTAGACCATGATCAAATAAAATGATGATGATGATGATGATGCTGCATAAAAATGATCTATCTCTTTTTCTCACGGCGGTCAATTCAGGCAACTGCTTAGCCAACAGAAAAAGAAAAAGAAAAATTCAGGCAGCTGCGAATAAAATAGGATATATTAGAGGCATAAAATTAAGAGAATTGAGCCTTAGTGGACTTTGACTCAAATATAAAGCTGATGCGCCCTGTTATGTATATCTAAATGTTATTTAATTTGATCATGGTCCCCATTGAAAGTGGCATATTGACCATTGGGTATATGTGTATATCGCCTTCCCCATATATTGACTACTGAGTATCCATGTAGATCGTGATCAAATAAAATTTAGGTTCATATATTAGACCATGATCAATATGCCTCTTTCCATGTGGTCCATGATCAAAAAATAAAATTTAGGCGCTCGACGCATATTATGCAACCCTTTTATGCCACTTTCTTTCAAAGAAAAGGTGACATGTATACTCAAGATGACCGGCCCACGCGCTAATCAACTTGATTGGAAGACATAGGACCGTGAATTTTGAGGCGTGAAGCAAAATTATTTAAAAGACTTAATATATTATCATTCATTTATTTTTATATTATTTTTTCAATTTATTAAAACCAAATTCAAATTTTTTATTTAACATTTTGGCCACTTCAAATCCTATAAAAAATCAAAACAATTACAATTTCAAATAAAAAGTAAGAGAATAGCAACACATATAATATGGCCGGTATTTGAGATCATAATTAGTGTTTTTTTAAGCAAAACTCCCAGTTTTAAATAAAAATATATAATTAATATTAATATTTAACAAGAAAAATAAAGACCAATCATATAAAATATAGGTAAATATTTTTGGAGGCTTAAGGCAATTGCCTCATTAGGCTAGTAGTTCAGACGGCCTTGGTAAGACACCAGCTCCCCCCTGGTCAGTTCATATATATACGCGTCATGCCACTTAATTTCTCTCTCTCATGATCATGGTCTACATAAGGGTACTTGAGAGTTTCTCTCTCTCTCTCTCTCTCTCTATATATATATATATATATATGCAACCCTATTATGCTACGGCGACAGGTATATTCAATAGTCAACATTAATTACTATATCCAATGAAGAGACTCATCAGTGGACGCGCTATTAGGATGACCGGCCCAGACACTAATCAACTTGATTGAAACCCTTTAACACTAATCAACTTCATATCTCAGTTCATCGAACAGTCCCATAGAAATATTATCTGTTGGCCGAGCATATAATAAGAATTAAATTCAAGAGACACAGACATAAAGGGAACAAATAATTTCACAATTCTGTTATGAAATTAAGCAACAAAAAAAATAAAAATATTGGGAGAAGACATAAAAACAAGATAATGAGAGAATTTTTTAGAAATTATTGTACCCTTCAATACAAATAACTTACCTTATTTATAGATATGGTTTTACACATTAAAGGTTACACAAATGATAAAGATAAATAAAGGGTAATCAAATTTTATAATAATGAGAGTTTCACGAGCAAAGATGAAGATGAAGAGGTGAGAAAGATAGACATCCACCAGCTTTTAATATTCTTAACAAATTCATAAATTTATGAGTTCAACAGGAAATGAAAATCAAAGTAGAGAAAGTCATTCCAATTAGGCTTCTTCCCAGCCTGACTGATTTAAAAACTAAAAGATGTGCTCAAAACAAATTCCACATACATAAAGTGATATAGGCATGTTCTTTTCTATTATCTTTCGCATGATAAATTTATAATTTATCAGTTTTATTATTTAATTTTTAATCAATATATTCTTTTTCATTTATGGTTTCTTGGTTTTGTGTGTAATTAAGTTGACTTATGCATGTATTGATTTTAATATTATTTCAATATTATAGTTGATAAATTCTCTTATTCATTATATACTTTAGTTGGTAAACAGAGTTGTATGTATATAGGCTTTAATAATTATAAAACTTAAATGAAACTTTTATATTTTTTTAAAATTTTAGATACGCTCAGGCTTGAGTCGTGAAAAAAAATTTATATAGGCTTGAAGCCAAGCTCAAGTTTTTAATCTACCATATGGTTCAAGCCTATTTGACTAAAGTATAGTTAAATTCAGCCTATTTTCACCCCTAAACGGAAGGGAGGATATCTGATTTGTGAGTGGATGTTGAGGCTTTTCTTAAGCATTTCCTTCCAAGGAATAAAATGAAGGGAGCCAAAACTACAGAGCTCAAGAATAAGCATAGAGCCCAAAATAATTATCATATTTTTAAAAGAATTTTAAAAGACAGTGGGAGTGTTGAATTTTAAAATTTAAGAGAAGAAAGTTTTTTTAAAACTCTTCACACAGTCCAAGGTAAAAGATGGTATTGTTTATAGAGCCAAATGACTAGGCTCTATGAATAATAAAATGTAGAGAAGTCATATTTAGATTTGGCTTGGGCTATTTTGATATATACTCCCTCCCTTCTGAATTATAAAATATTTTTAGATAAAATCTCACATACCAATAAAATTTATTAAATGCACTTTACAACCTTACTTTTGCAAAACAAAAATATAACATTTTAAAAATACCCTTCATTTAATACTCCATTGATAAAAACAAATTGAAGAGAGAGAATATATAAGAAGGATAATATTGAAAAAGCATCATTAATGAAATTTTACTTTTATCAAAGTGTCTTATATTTTGGAACATTACTCTATAAAAGTGTCTTATATTTTGGAATGGAGAGAGTATAACATATTGATTATGATGATGATTCAGCCGGTTGGTAAGAGAGTTTGAAGGAGTGGTAGAAACTATTGTTGCTTAAACAAGTGATTGAGATTGGATTTTCTATTGAGAAAATTATATATAGATTTTATGGAACAGATTTATTTATAAATAAGTTTCGTGAAATTCAAAAATCACACCTAGGTTCCTTCGAGAGATGTAAAGGGAACAAATAAATTCAAAATTTTGTTATGAAATTAAGCAATTAAAAAAATAAAAATATTGGGAAAAGAAATAGAAATAAGAGAATAAGAGAATTTCTTATAAATTATTATACCCTTCAATACAAATAATATATCCTATTTATAGGTATGATTTTACATATCAAAGGTTACACAAATGATAAAAGCAAATAAAGTGTAATTAAATTTTATAATTATGGGAGTTTCATGAGAGAAGATGAAAATGAAGAAGTGAGAAAGATAGATATCCATCCTCCTTTTAATATTCATAACAAATACATAAATTTATGTGTTCAACAAGAAATGGAAATCAAAATAGAGAAAGTCATTCCAATTAGACTTCTACCCTGCCTGACTGATTTAAAAACTAAAAGACATGTTCAAAACAAATTCGAAATACATAAGGTGATATAGACATGTTCTTTTTTATTATCTTTTGCATGATAAATTTATGATTTATCAGTTGTACCATTTGATTTTTATTCAATATATTCTTTTTCATTTATGGTTTCTTGGTTTTGTTTTTAATTAGGTTGACTTATGCATGTATTAATTTCAATATTGTTTCAGTATTGTAGTTGATAAGTTCTCCAACTGATTATGTACTTTAGTTGATAAATAGGATTGTATGTATATAGGCTTTAATAATTATAAAACTTATATGAAACTTTTAAAACTTTAGCTAGGCTCAAGTTCGAGTTGTGAAAAAAATCTTATATAATTATATAATTAGTAGTTAATTGTTAAATAAAACATGGAGACTTGGACTTTTGAACTGTATATTAGGGGTCCACATAGTTGACGAAGACCGGCGCGCACTGACTTGTTTGTTCATATTTAATCCCCTTCCTCTGAAGCGTTACTGCATTTTGTCTTTCTCTTAAGTCGTTCACCTCACGCCATTGTTTCCCGTCTATGATGATCACTATTTTGGGAAGACGCTTGCTCGACTGGCTCCGTAATGGTTTTGTTTGGTCCAAGACTAACTTCTTCATCTTGGGTACGTAAATAGAAATCGATGCTAGTTGATTACCATCTCTTCATGTCGACATATATGTTCGTGTATCACCTCTTGCCATAACTTATTTTTGTTTTATCTGCATCTCAAGTAATTTCTATTGAAAAAAGTTTTGATGTGATTGAACAATAACTAACCCACCTCTTTAACGATATTTATAATTCAGGTTTAGTTTTTAGCTATGCCTTGGTTAAGAAAGCAGTGGTGGACATTTTGATTGACTTCCTTACAGACGAAGGTCTAAGTCTGTGGCAAGCTGTTTTGGTTGTGCTTCTTCTAGATTGGATATCAGCTGTGTTTAAAGTTGTTGTTACGCACGTATCCGAAGTTTACTCAGGTCGCTTCAGCGTGATTATCTTCTGCACCGCAGTCTATGCTATGGTAATTAGCTACCATAACCCTGTTCTAAAATGTTGTTATTTGAAGTCGTCAAAGACTCTAAAAAAATATTTTATTTTAATTTGCATATTAACGTCTCACTTTTTTTTTTTTTTTTACCAACTCCTTCCAAGGAAGGAAACTCACACACACTGAGCCACTCTGGGCTCGAACCCACGTCCTGCATGCTACGAGGTGGGTATCGGTGCCGCTTGTAGCGCAAGGTGCAACATATTTCACGCATGGGTTATTTGAAGTGCTCAAAGGCTGTCAAAAAAAATAAATTTTATTTTAATTTGTATATTAACGTCTCACTTTTTTTTTTTTTTTACCAACTCCTTCCCAAGGAAGGAAACTCACACGCACTGAGCCACTCTGTTCTCGAACCCACGTCCTGCATGCTACGAGGTGGGTATTGGTGCCGCTTGTAGCGCAAGGTGCAACATATTTCACGCATGAGTTATTTGAAGTCCTCAAAGACTCTCAAAAAAATATTTTATTTTAATTTGCATATTAACATCTCACTTTTTTTTTTTTTTTCACCAAGTCCTTCGCAATGAAGGAAAACTCATACAATGAGCCACTCTGGGCTCGAACACATCTCCTGCATACTACAGGTGGGTACTGCTGCCACTTGCAGCGCAAGGCTGCCGGCCTCGCCTCATATTAGACAATGTTGTAATCACAAAACTAACAATCAGTCTCTCTTTTATGGTATGGATCTATATCTTGGGTGCTCATCACCCTGACAAGGTGGATCTATATCTTGGGAGCTCATCTTGAGTGCTCATCAATGAGCACCGTGGTGTTCATCAGGATGATGCAATTTAGATCATTCAGATTTTTAATTTGAATGATCCATATTTAAAGAATTAATTTAATATTTTTATTTAATATTTTTTAAATAAAAATTATAAAAAAGTTTTAATAAATCTTTTCATGATTAATCTAGTCTATATTTAATTTGGGATCTATCTTGGGTGCTCATCATGGTGAAGCAATCTAGTCTGGATGGTCCAGATTTAAAAAATTAATTTAATATTTTTATTTTATATTTTTTAAATAAAAATTATAAAAAAGTTTTAATAAATATTTTCATGGCTAATCTTATCTATATTTAATCTAGAGGGTCCAATTTAATATTAAAATTTTTATATTTTTTTATATATTAACTATCCAAATGTATTCTGTATAGTTTAGATTTAAAATTTTTAACTTGTAATTTTTTTAAAAAAATATTGTTTCAAAAGTTCTATTCAAAAGATTATATATTTTATCTTTTTAATATTGTATTTATCAAAATAAAAATAAAACTTTAAATCTGGACTTTGCAAATAAAAATTTAATATTGAATTTGAACTGTTCAGAGTACATGTAGATATTTAATTTATAAAAATTATAATATTAAATTAAATCATTCAAATTAAATAAATACTATTCAGATTGATGATGAACATATTTATTAAAAAATTTATAAATTTTTATTTTAATAAATATAAAATTAAAATAAAAATAAAAAAAATCTAAGCCATCTAGATTTAATCTAGATGGCCCATATTTTTTGTGCCAGATGAGCACCTCCGTTGCCGAGCACCAAAGGGGGACCCCTCTCTTATGATATGATATACTGTTACTCAAGGTACGTAAAACCGGACCGATCATTAAACCAGTTATGATAGTGGGTTACGGGTTAGTGGTTCAATCAGGGTTGAACCGGGGGTTGAACCGGTGGCAAACCGGTCATGATTAAAATAATATAATTTAAATAAAAAGACATTAATTATAAAAACATTCAACCAAATCCAATCACTCAAAAGTCTAACAATAATAAAATACTATATTTTTGGACTTAGCATGCTCTATCTCTAATTTTTCATTTTTTGACTTCAAGTTTATTTTTTTTTGTTATTTTTTTCTGAACTCAGAGCTCTGAAAAAATAAAAATGAAAAAAAAATCAAAAACGATGTCGTTTTGGGGTAAAAGTCTGAAAAAATATTAATCCGGTTAACCCAGTCAACCCACCGGGTTATCCGGGTTATACCGGGTTGAACTCGGGTTGACCGGGTTACACCGGTTCGCTCCTTCACCGGGTTAAGAGCAAACCCAGACCGAACAGGGGACCGGTTCACCGATTTCTGGGTTGACCCGACCGGTCCGGTCCGATTTTTAATACTATGCTGTTACTAGAACCTACCCAGACCTACGAGTTTGACTAGTTAATAGGTCCAAAAGTGACAAAAGTGGGGGGAAGGGAACGACCTACGAAGTGCTAAATCACACCAATCATTCCAATATTTTAAAAATTAAACTGGACATCAAATTGAAAAAATTACCGAGTTATAGTTCTCATAATTCAATCGAAAGCATAATAGTTAACTAAAAAATATTTATATATGTGCCTTCATATATGTGTATGTTTATAACAGAAATAAAACATTGATTTGATAAAATACCATGATATGTTAAGTTATTAATACAATAAAACCACAAAACCTTAGCATTAAACAGGTATTCTAAATAATTATTATTATTCTTTCCCTTCAAAAATCAATAAATCCCGCATTTGACAGTTGTCAAAGAGACCAAATAACCAGTTTTAAAATTTACTTTCAGATCATTGGCCAAAAAAAAAAAATTTACTTTTAGATTCAAAGCGAATTGTATAGCAGGTTGCACGAAGGAGGAAGACGAGTTGTAGACTCAGATTGAAAACTGATTTCACAGTCGAAGCTTTAGTGAAGATGACCTCAAATCAAAATGAAAGAACTAAGGAAGGAAAGCACGAACGAAGATTCTTCCTCAAACGCTCCAATCAACAACGTCGCATAGAAAAGAGAAGAAGAGCCTCGATCTTAGACTGAATGAAGAAGAGTCTCCCTATCTCAGTCTCAGATCGATGGCATCGCACGCAAGGTAGCCTGGTAGAATGGAAGAAGGGTTTTTTGGGCATCAGAAATTTTTTCAGACTTCATACCCAATGACCCGTCGGAATCGCTTTCGGTCTAATTCTGGATCTCTAAAAATTGTCCGGTCCAAAGCGGTTCGAAACGGTCCAACTCACATAACGGTCCAACGAGTTAAACCGAGCTGTCTTCATGCCCAGGCAATGGTCTTCATGTCCAGGCAATGGTTTGACACGTCCGATTAGCCGGGTCAGTCCGGTTCTCAAAACGCTAATCCCAACCCATCTATTTATATGTGTGCTAAGTCGGTTATTATTTCTTTCTCTAACCTTCTCGATCCTTCTTCCTTTCACCACTTAAATAATTAAATATTACATCCAAAATTTTCTTATTAGTTCACCACCTTTGCTTCTTTCTTTTTTGACTAGATTAGTGGAGAAAATTTTAGAGAGAGAGAGAGAGAGAAAAAAGGTGATATTTTAATTATTCAAAGATTTGTCTCAGTTTGGACTTTGGATTATTATTTGGCTTTCTGACTCTCATTCTCTTGTTTAATTAATGTACTTTTTTAAAAATATTATGTAAAATTTATGAATATTCAAGTGGTAAATGCTCTTTTAATGCCCTCACAGCTCTTTAAAAAATGTTGAATCTGGAACTTCAAGTAAAAATGATTATTTTATCTAGTGGTTCATTGTTTTGTGTGCACACGTGTATATTCTCATTTTCCACTTTCCCAACTTCTCTCCTTGATTTATTTTTTAAAAATGGGTATTCATGAAAAAACGAGCTGAACAAACCTATTTTAGCTCGCTCGGATTAGGTTAGCCTGTTTTAAAACATGACAAAATGGGTTGAGCACGGGAATAGAATAGCCAACCCATTTTCGAGAAAATGGGACGGGCTACGAGCAACCTTTTGGGTTAGCCCATGCATAAATGCATGTGGATGCATATATACGCATTGACCTTCGTGTTATATATTTTAAATTTTAAATTTATTTTTTTTTTTAAATTTATTAGTTTAGCTATAACTTTTAGTATATAATGTTTAAAATATATTAATTGAATTACAAATGGTTCAATCTTGATTTGACCCCCGTTTGATTTTTGAACCATAAACCAATGTCTTGACCAGTTCAATAATCAATCCGGTTCTAATAACATTAATATGATATATGTTTTACTATTAGAGAAGAATAACATGTTTTAAGATAGCTAGTATTCATGACTTAATTTTATTGATTATTTGTTAAACAATTCTCAGAAATCAAATAAAAGAATGTAATTATAATTGCAGGGATTGATGCAATTTTGGATTTGCGCCAGGAATTTAAATCGCGGCACGTTGATTTTTGCAGTTGTACTCACTGCGCTAGGCGAAGCCGGACAAGAGCCAGTTTTAGAAGATTATTTTGATTATCAACTAAGTGAAGAAGTAAGCAGAAAACGTACCCAAGAGGACAATTTCAGCAGAACTACTTATCATTGGTGGCCAGCTGCTTCCTTTGTTGGCTCCGTTGTAGCTTTCATCGCTTTGGGCCCAACTCTTTGGGAGGAAACTTTCCAAATTTCGTCTTATATTATGGCAAGTACGTATTTGTTATTCTTCTTGGGGATTTTTTACTATTATCCTGAAGAAAGACCCTTAGCCTCAGAAGTCCTCTAACCACCACATATAGGGTCTTGAAGGCAGCTATTAAGAAGCTTAGATTGCCATACCCTTCTTCAGAAGAGGGCTATTACTCCAACAGTAACAATGAAGATTCAGATGTTTCCCAAGATTCATTTTATCTAAGGAAAAATGGGGAGGTTCACTTGTTGCCTCGTGATCCATCATGTTTGTCGTTCTTGGACAAGGCTGCTATAATTAGGAACAACTCCAATGGTGAAAGGGAAGAGCGAAATGGAGAGATTTGTACGGTCGTTCAAGTGAGGGATGTGAAGAGCCTTTATCCTATCATACAGTGGGCGTATTTGCTCTTCGCTTGCAGTTTGGTTTCAGCTTCTGGGAACACTTACTTTATTCAGCAAGCTCAAAACTTGGATTCTAAAGTTGGTGATTTCCATGTCTCTGTTGTTTTTTTCTTTGTACTAAAGTCTTTTGTTGTTCGTGTGGTCAGAATAATTCAATCAATAAAAGAACTGGTGAAACCAACTTGGAGTATAGCTGTTGGGATGTTTTGTTCAGTACTCTGCGGAATTGCGGCCTGGCTGGTGGAACGTCAAAGGAAGCATTTAACTCTAAATGACCCACAAAAGAACATTATTTCCTTCAGCGTAATGTGGTTAACTCCATAATTTTTCCTCTTAGGGCTAATGGAATCATTTGTTGAAGATGGACTAGTAAATTTTGTGTGTTGTCAGGTGCCTGCATCGATGAGAACATTTGTGGGTCCGTGCTCTGGATTTCTCTTGGCAACTGAAAAGCTCTTCGGCTTACAATTTGCATATTGTTTTGGGGTCTTGACCAATGAATCCATGGAAACAAGTTGCTGGATTGGTATTTTCTGTTTCTGGCAGCACTCAGCTTGGGGTTCTTTTGCATTTATGTGAGTATTATTGTGTGTATTCATTCATCCAATTCATTCCTCCACGAAGAAACATGAAGTACGTGGTGATGAGGGGTCAAATTAATATATTTGAAGATCTTTTGATAACTGTCGAAGACGCTTCTAAAGATTATGCATCTCACAACAGAAGCAAGAAGGATAAATAGATGATCCAAAAAGAGGCTAGATGAACTGAATCTGTAATTGTCACTTTACTCCAGTATGATGGTGATACAGGTTACTTATAGACACAAGTGAGTAAGTATTTGGTAGAGATATAGGATTATAATTATGTATATGATTAGTTACTCAGAAGGATAAGGCCTGTGCACACTGTACTATTTCTGTTCTCTCAATGCGTGTCAATATCATATTGGAATCTTTGCAACCGTTTGTACTATAAATAATACACGCACTACAAAAAAAATAACTTTCAGCGGCGACACAAAAAAGTTGCTGCTGATTCTCAACTTTTAGCGGTGATAGTAAAAGTCGCCGCTAAAAGTGTGACTTTCTATGGCGACATTTGAAGTTGCCGTTGAAATAGTGACTTTCTGCGGCGACAAGATATAGTCGTCGCTGATTGTCAGACTTTCAGCAGCGACAAGTGCATGTTGCCGCAAAAAGTCATACTTTCAACGGTGACTTTTATTGTCGCCGTTGAAAGTTGAGAATCAGTGGTGACTTTTTAGTGTTGCCGCTGATTGTCAACATATTTAAAAATATGTTATAATTTTTTTAAAAAAATTATATTGTAAGTTTTAGCGGCGACATACAAGTCACTGCTGAAAGTTGAGAATCAGCAGCAACTTTTTAGTGTCGCTGCTGATTGTCAACATATTTTAAAATATGTTATAATTTTTTTAAAAAAAAATTATGTTGTAAGTTTCAACAGAGACATACAAGTCGCCGCTGAAAGTTGAGAATCAATAACGAATTTTTAGTGTCGCCGCTAAAAATGAGACTTTTAGCGGCAACTTTGAATGTCGTCGTTGAAAGTTTAATTTTGTATTATCATCATAATTTTTATTTTTATTTATCTAATATTTAAAATTTTAAGATATTAATTTTGTTGTATTATTGTAATGTTATAATGAATATATAATAGAACATAATGAGTTTTCATCTAATATATTCTATGGTTAAATTGTAACTTTAAGATAAGGTTAAGGTATTAGTTAATGCTAATGAGCTAAAGTAAAGAATTAAGCCAAATCATATTATTTTGCGTGTGTGTTTGTATTAAAAATTTACAATTAAAGTTAAGATTCAACCAAGGTTAGCAAACTAAGGTTAGAAGAAAAGTCAGTAAATATAATATGATTTATGTTTGGATATGTTTTTTTTAGAAGTCTATTAGATAAACTAAAATTTGTTTGGATAATTTTATTCAAAAGTTAGTTGAAATGTTTAATGGCCAAAATAAGCATGAAATTTTTAATATATATTTTTTGACTAATTAATAACTAAAACAAATTAAATTTAAAATTATAACTAATAAGTAAAAAATCTTAAATATTCAAGATAGAAGAGAAGAGAGAGAAAGCATAAGTCATCAAATCAATGTAGAAGTCAATAACTCTACTTGTTTATAATAATTAAACATGTGATACTTAAATTTATTCATTCATAGAATGATATTTTATCTAATCTAATTTTTTAATTTAAATTCTACTTTTAACACCAGTAACTTTAAAGCTTGATGCTAGTTTAGAAACATAAATAATTATAAACTACTGTATAATCATCAGTATTTTTACTATTTATTCTTAGATATTTTTTTATATTATAATTATAAATATGAATATTAAAATAAATAATATAACAACCTCAAGAAGTAAAAAAAATTAAAATAAATAATACAAATGATATTGTATAAATTATATTTATAGTTTACTTTAAACAAAATAAATAATATAATTTGTAATTTTATAAATTAAAAGAATTAAATTGAACTATTTAAGGATAGTAATGATATTTTATAATATTTAATATTTAATATATATATATATGTGTGTTTGTATAGTTTAATAATATGTGTATATATATATATATATATTTTAATTATGCAATAATAGACTGCAGGTTCATTCCAGTTCAGTGGCGAAATAGTTGGATACAAAAGAAGGAGGTTATGGGTTCAAACCTTAGAGGAGACAACTTTCAAAATGAAAATATAAATTGGTGACATGATGACACCTAGCGTGTGGTGAGAGCGACACATGAAGAGTGACATGGTGCTATGTGGTGCGAGGTGGGGCCCTATGTGGAGGGTGACATGGCGCCACCTGGGGTGAGGTAGGGCGCCATGTGGTGTGTGGTGAGAGTAACACATGGAGAGTGACATGGTGCCACATGGTGTGAGGTGGGAGCGACACACCATGTGGTGTGAGGTGGGGCCCTATGTGGAGGGTAACATAGGCCACGTGGCATGAGGTGGGGTGCCACGTGGATAGTGACGTGGTACCATGTGTGTAAGTAAACCAACATTACTTTTCAGCGGCGATAAAAAAGTCGCCGCTAATTGGCAGCTTTCGCAGCGACAAAATAGTCGCCACTGATGTGTGGTTTTTGCAGCAACAAAATGTCGTCGTCAATTTTTAACTTTTAGTGACGACTATTATTTGGTTGCGACAAATTTTCTTTTCTGTGGCGACATTTGTCGCCGCTGATTCTCAACTTTCAGCGGCGACTTTTATTATCGCCGCAGATTGAATCAGCCACAAGAGCTCTTGCGGCGACATTGTGGCGACTTTTTGTCGCAGCTGAAAGTCAATTTTTTTATAGTGATGAATGGAGCCAAGACCTGGATATCAAGGTCTTGAGCATTTTCCATTTCCTTTGCCTGATTTCTATCTGTATTAAGTTTGAGTGTGGCAAAAAAGTGTTATTGAACTAGCTAGTTACAATAGATGACAAATAACCAATGCGAGAATGACAAGGAAGGACCATTTAAGAATATTAATGTCAAATCAAGAATTTTAGTACTGAAACACAGTAAAAAGAGTACTAAAATTTAGGAACGTCAGTATTGAAAAATCCTAGTTTAACATTAATATTCCTATAAGGTCCTTATTTATCATTTTTCCACAACTAACCTATATTGAATTGAACTTGACATCCTCCCTCAAACTGAGGGCACTAAAGCTACTTAATTAACTATATTCCAAAATTAACCAGGCATGGTATATATTGATTGTCGAATTATGACTGAAAAGACAGTACTTGAGATTCTCTACTACAACATTTTTTCTTCGGTGGCAACCGTCCAAAACCGTTGCCATAAAGAAAAACTAGCTACCACTGTTACCTATAGTCTAAAACTCTAAGGCAATAGTTTTTTTATTTTATTTTTGGCAACAAATCGTAAAATCATTGATACTATAGGCAATGGGTTTAAGATACTATAATAGGCACAGTTTTAACCTATTGGTAAGAATGGACAACAAGTTTAACATGTTGCTAAATTTACACTACTACAAAAAGGGAGAATTGCAAAAGGTCCCAAAATGATCAATTAATTCAAGTTAGGTCCTAAATGTCAAACTCCAAAAAATTTACAAGTCTATCTCTCAATTTTGCAATTGCATTGTGATAAATTTGTAACTTGTTTTCTAAATTTTAACATAGTTGAAGAATAAAAAAATTTATTTTTCCCATTAAAATTTGGAATACAAGTTGCAAATTCATCACAACGGAGTTAAAAAATTGAGAGATTGATTGCAAATCCTTAAAATTTGACATTTGAGACCTAATTTAAATTAATTGATCCTTTTAAAATCTCTTTATCATTCTCCCTTACAAAAATGTGTATATAAGATGGCAAAAAATGACGGTTAAAAGAAAATACATCATATATGAAAGAGGCGAGTGATGGTTAGCAAATAAATGACAGGTCACCCGTCATTTATTACTTTCAAATAAATGACGGGTATTTTAAATACCCATCATAAAAAGTTTAATTCAAACTATGTAGATATTGAAAAATTTTAAACAATAAATGATGGGTGTTTCAAACACCTACCATATATTGTTTGGCTTTAAATGACACGTTTTTAAAACATTTGTCATTTAAATTTCTGTAACATTTTAGATTTTGAAAAGGTAAAAAAAATTTAAACTTTAAATGACGAGTGTTTGAAACACCTATCATTTAAAAGCTAAACAATAAATGATGGGTGTTTGAAACACCGATCATTTTTTCCATTTTAATTGCCTATTCTCGTTCATTTTTTCAGTTTGCACCCATTCGTCTTTCCTTTGCTCTTCTCTTCTCTACTTGCACACGACATCCAAAAAAACTCCTACAATCTTCCTCCATTACTATCATTGACTACCGTAGATTGCTTCGACGTGAAGCCGCTACCTCCTACGTCATCGTTCACCAATGTTTGCCATCTTGGTTTCTTCCTCTTTGGGTTTCAATCATCTTTGCTTGAAGGTGTGATTTCTTTTTCTTTTATTCTTTTTCTTCCAATATCCATAGATTTCTAGGTTATAGTAATGATTTATTTAATATTGTGGATTGTTATATTAGTTGATTTTTCTTGTGCAAGTTTTTGCTCAGTTGTTGCGCAATTTAGAATTGTGAGGTATCGAAAATTGTTAATGTTTATTGTATTATTGACTTGAGAATGCTAATAGATGATATAGGTAGCCTTAGGATGATTGTTTGGATGAAAATGAGTGATCAAAAATGGGATATATATGATGATTGTATTTTTCTATGAATTTTGAATGATTTATTTGAATAATTTTTAATTTAAATTTTGTGCCTTGTTTGATTAGAGTAGTTTTATCATTCAAAACTACATATTGAAATGTACTAGTGTGCCAAATTTCATTACAATTGAAGTTGATTTAAGTGATCAAAACTGACGTGCGGTTTCTCTAAAAATCATTGCTATTTTGTTGAGATTTTGATATTTGCTAAAGAATGATGTTTTCTTGGCTTGCCATTGCTATTGTGGGATATGGAACCTTAGAATGATCAACGAGACAAAAAAATTGATTGAAAATGATGTTTATAGTGTTTTCTTTTTTTCTGTGATTTTTTAACGAATTTTAGATATAATTTTATAATAATTAGAGTTAATTTGAAAATGCTATTTTGTGGAGATTTTGTTGCTATTGGATTATATATGGTTGAAATTAGTTTGTTGAGAGAGATGCTAAGTTTAAAAAGAGCTTTTGAGCTTGAAAAATGAGAAGGACCATGCTTTTGAGCTTTTGAAAATGAAGTTGTAGAGAGAAAGAACAAAACCTTGAAAGAAATGGCAAGGACCATGCTAAATGAGAAGAAACTTCCTAAATATTGATGGGCAGATGCCATGAGTATAGCATGCTACATAACCAA